ACATTGATCAGGTCACCAATGCTGCACTGATCCGATCTATTTTACCCCCTTTCATGAACAAGACCCAAAGATACGAGTATTGGCGACTGATCAACAAACTTTTAGGTCGCAGAGCAGCTGATTCGGGGAAACTAACGAGCGCTAGATGTTCAAAACGCCAGTCCAAAGTCTTCGTGTTATTGCTTTATTTAATCTTCAGGTATCCAACATTAAAACACGTCACTGAATCAGTTCATAGGCATCCATAATCCACAAACGGTAATCCATCGTGAACGTTCACAGCAAACTTGATTCGATCAGATCTAAAGCATAAGGCGTACAGCGTAAAGCATAAAGCGTAAAGCGGTCAGCAAAAAGTAGGCTTCCCCCATCACCCACTCACTACTAAACTGTCCCCTTGCGAGTGAACACGTGATATTTCAAATGCTACCGCTCCCAACACCACCTGACCAATTAGTGGACGTCATCCCTATGGCATGCAGAAACCCATTCTATCCACTACAACGAGGACTCCTCCACTTGGGGCAGGACATCTCCCCTGACCTGGAGAGGCATTCCACCTGGTGTGAGACCATGGTCTTGGATTTGGAGGCTTTGATCCTCATCCCTGCTGCAAACTGCTGCAGTAAAAGTTATAGATCGTGACTTGTTGAAGCCAATGGGTCCACATCATCTGTGAAAAGCAGAGATGCAATTCTACGGTCACATCCCTTCAACACCTTGGCTGTGATTAGAAATTGTGTTGGGGGAAATCCCATGTGTCAGGGGGGGAAATAAGTATTTGACCCCTTGCTGATTTAGCAGGTTTGCCCACTTACAAAGAATGCAACGATCTATAACTTTAATCATATGTACATTCTAACAGTGAAAGACAGAATCCCAAAGAAAATTCCAGAAAATCACATCATATGAATTTATAAAAATTGATAACCATCTGATGAGGAAAAATAAGCATTCTTGGTAGGTGGGCAAACCTGCAAAATCAGCAAGGGGTCAAATACTTATTTCCCCCACTGTACCTTCCAGGACCCTGCTGAGGTTATAGACCTGGTCCAGTGTTCCATAGCCAGGATGAAAACAAATCTGCTCCTCCTTGATCCGAGGTTCGATCATCAGACTGACCCTCCTCTCCAGAACCCCTGAATAGACCTCACCAGGGAGGCTTAAGAGTTTGATTCCCCCGTGGTTGGAGCTCACTCTATGGTCCCCACCACCATCCCAGTCTGCCAATCAAGTGGAACCCTCCCGATGTCCATATCGTATTGCAGAGAAATGTCAACCAACAGAACCCCACAAACATCCAGGGCCTTGAATCTGATCCAGCCCTGGAGCCCTGCAACCGGGGAACTTTTTTACCACCTCGATTATCTGGTGGTGACCAGCACCAGAGATTGGAGAGCCCAAAAACGAGGTCCAGAGGCTCCTCTTCCCCAATAGAAGACGTGCTAGTGGGATCGAGGAGGTCTTCAAAATACTCTGCACACTTCAAGAAGTAGAGGTCTTTATGGAGCACATTTGCTCAGTGGACTGCAAGATTCACAAGAGGCACCTTAGCTTTGTAGTCTCTATTCCTTAAGAGAGAACAATTTACCCTTATGAAATAACAATGAATCTAAACAAATAAGAATGGGTGGACATAGCTGTGTTATGATTTATCGTGTGAAATTTATACAACTCATGCCTGTGAAATTGGTGACTAAGCAGCGATCGTTCAAGCAATAATGAATAAAAACATCAGCCTCTCTCACACAAAGTCTCCGCTGCCAGATGAATTATTAATGAGCACCTAGAAACTATATCAGTCACTCTAAAAGGCATTTCCTCCAGACAACGGGCAGAAAAGATGCAAACGTAAAACTCCACACATGCAAATGCAAACATGGAACCCTCTTGCTGTGAGACAGGCCTAAACATTTTCAAGCCTAATCTTAAAATTCAAGGCACACCCTTACAAGAAAAAGACCTAAAAACCCGAATGCTGAGCCCACAACTCTACTTTCTCACCACATGTGAGCCTGAAAAAAGAAATCATTGAAATATGAGATCTTCAAGATATGACAAAGCTTGTCAATTAGGATAATTAAATGTGATTAGAGTGAATTAGGAGAAAGATAAGAAGGGGAAGACATACTTTCCTGAACAAAAACCCTTCTACAGTGCTGCATTGGAAACCAAAAAATAAACGAGTGGTGTTGTATTATGCTTCTCTGACAAAACTCACACACTCTGTGACCACTATAAGTGTATAAGTGTATACTTATAAGAATACAGGTAGTGCACAGTCAACTTTGATAGCCTATGTAGATTTCCTCCACCAGAATCTCTACTATCTTCTCTACTTCTGTGCATTGTGTGGTGGTTGTATATTATTTCCCCCACCTGTGGCTGATTACTATAAAAAGAAATATATATATATATATAAATATACACCACACACAAATAGAAAACTGTGCAGTAATTCACCCTGTTAACTAATCGTTTCAGATTATTCAAAAATTATTTTACTTACGGAGGAGGCACTAGGCTGGAATTAACATTCAGTTAATGCATCAGGACCCTGCAGCTGCAAACATGCTTAATGACTGCATATTATGACACCTATTCCTCTAGATGGCTGCATACGAGGAATTTGTGGGAAACCGTAACTCTTTGAACTCATTGTAAAAGACTCAGGGGGAGAAAATG